AGAGGGACGTTTGGTTTTCCTAGATGTGAATGTTATTCGCTCTACTGGTACACTTAAGAGGAAATTGTTCAAAAAGAAGTCATATACCGGAATAATACTCAAGCTCTAATATCATCACAGCTACAGAATGATCATAGACATACTGAGGAGTATGATCATCAGAAGCCTACGATTGGCGGACGTAGATGAAGAATTGCAAAAATGGACTCGGATAGTCCTCTGTAATGAGATGCCGAGAGCAGTAATTTATAGAAAGATACTGGCCATTAAAAGCCGATGGCAGGACGGAGATTACCCATCAAGGAACATCAAAGGTTCTGCAGGAAAATGGATACTGAAAGATCAAATAAAGCGGAAAACATCGCAGAGACTGGAAACGTGATCAATTCGAAGGCAAAAAAACGAAGGGTCTCATAAATTCAAAGCATACAAAACGGAAAATTAGGGAGGCCCAAAAGGCAGATTCGGATAGAACAATAAATCAGGATCATCCACTCAAAAGTAAGAGCAACAATGCAACAGCAAGTGTGATGACGCCACGGTAAATTCGCCCAAAGGGCACATCTCTTGTGGAATATAAACATGTCAGAAGTTGTGATAGGACAAGGACAAGACTAGAGGGTAGGATATGGATAGAGGGATCAGGACAAAACGGAGAGTGATAGCATAACCATCCCGACAGAAAGTTGGTCAAGGGATTGACTTCACTTGTCTCTTTGACGAGTTGTAGCTTGGTTGCTAAGACTGGCAATACACCCTGACGATGCCGACTACGATGATGGCAACACGTCTGGGAATATACCAAGTCCACGATCCGACTCTATAAATCATCATGCATACTATGGACTCCGGACAAGATGCGTTCCTCTAGGTCTTCCTGCTAATATGACCAAGTTAAGAAAGCAAGGTCAAACAACTTCCAGACATGAATTAGTTGATTAAGACTAGTGCTCACTTCATATAATTGAAAGTATGTTTTTGTGCAATAACTTTGCTCCTCTGCGTCTCTTCAATAGGACTACAAGCTGGTTTAACCGGTTCATGGGCTTCTGAGTGCTGAATAAAGGGTTTACTGTAGTGACATGGTCTTGATTTAAGCTGATTTGCCAGTGCACTATGCATTTCTTTAAAAGATTCATTTTCAGATTCAAACGTATGCCGATGAATCGCTCTTGAGGTCGAGCAAAGGGGTTCCCCGACAAACTCGCTACCAATTGGAGAGAATTTAACTCGAGTTTTTTGGCACCCAGCCTCTTTCGTATCTGGCTCATGATCATTCATTTCTACATAATGCAGCAAGCCATCCTCGCTACCACTGCTATAAGAGTTCAAATCGCCAGCATTCCCCATCTTTTCGTATTCATATGAGCGGCATGCATGACCGATGAAGTAATCATCGCTGGTTTTCACTGGGCGATGGCGATTTCTATTGAAATTACGCATAAAAGACCAACTCGCGCGTCTAAGGGAGTGTTTACGCAGATCAGATGACGAGGATGATGAAAATGTTGGCGAAGGAGGTGGGGAAATAGCTCGAGTGACGGCAGCCCGAGTATCCGAGAACCAGTTGAGCAGACGTCCATCGACTCCAAAGATTCGCAAGAAGGAGCGTACCATTTCGTGAGACATGTCTTCCAGCAAGTACACAAATTCGCGACGTTTGCTACCGATGTTCTGGATTAAATTGCTACCACGACGAACCATAGTCTCAAAATTATCCTGCATTTTAAGCTGTTTTTCCTAGTTAGAAAAAAAAATCATAGGATGAATGGTCCAGAAAGG